GACCAATGCTTAATAATCGTTCAACCGGTGTTGATGACGATATGTTGATAACTTGTAGTCTTGATCTTTTAAAGGGAAATGCGTGAAATGTCTGCTTCTCTTCTATTTGTAAAATGCTGCTTGTTTTACACAAAGAAGTTACTCGAGTTTGTATGAGTTTTCTAATAAACTCTTATTTGGATAAGAAGGATCTTGGAGACCTCTCGTAGAGTACCTACCTTTTTAAGATATTTTCGGTACCTTCGATGAAAATTTATCCTTTTTTCTAACTAATTTTTAAAGAAATCTTAAAGCTAATCTTTCGACGATACTCAATTTAAATTTATAAAAATGATTTTTCTCTCTATCGTCTCCAGAGTTCTTGCAAATCTTTATTAGGAGAAGCGATATATCCGAGGATCAATTATCTCTAGTTCTTTAAATATTTTCTTTTAATTTAAAATTTTGCAAGCAGATAAGGATCGACTTTTTTAATATACCTACGTATTATAGTTTTTTTCCTGCAGCTTTAAGATTCTTCTCGCGTTTATTCATCAGAGCTACAAAGTACGCGAATTACATTAACCCGAATCCAAAATGCGTCGACTCCGAAACGTATCGCGCGAGGAACAAAGACGAAATCGATTTCTCCAGACGACGCTCTTCTCGTCGTTGAAGACGCGTCCAACTTATTCTAGTTTACATTTTACTCCCGTCATCTATCGACATCTTTTATTCATTCGGGCGCATCCGAGTTGCGAAATCGCGTGACAAACTTCTTTAATAAAGTTTCAAATGAGCGTAACGGGGGCTATTGTCTCGTGCCACTCTTTTTCGCAAAGTTACGTATTAAATTATCATCGAAGAGGTCCCCTCGTATACACTTCCTAAGGAAGTACTTTTTCTACTTGAGATAAACATGTAAACTCGCGTATGTAAAATATATACAGAATAAACAATGTATAAGACAAAATATAAAAAACTTCTTTAAAAAGATAAAAACACACGCCAAGTATATAAAAAATATCCATATTTGTATGCAACATACGCACAAATGAGAGTTAAATAAAAATTTAAAATACATGTTAAAATTTATGACTTATAATATACCTGACGGTTTTTTTACCATAAAATAAAAATTTGTCACTCACCGATCGATGCAGCAAAGTTGATTGCGTAGATTAAGTTGTGTGATTTCTGTAACATACAAGTATAAGATCCGAATTATAGTGAGGTTCGAAATAAATAATCTTTCAAAAAATTATTCTATACACATCGAAGTTGATTCAATGCATACAATAAATAGAAGCTTAATGAGAAATAATTATATAATAATATTTAAAAATTTAAATTGCAATCGTTAGCATCGTCGAAAGGTTTTTTAAATTTTATAATTGACTAATTTTATATGACTCCACTGATGAAGACTGCGTACAGTCGAAACGTTTGTGATTTAATTGTATTAATATGTTTTAATTGTTGTTATATGGTATAATTTGCAAGTAATGAAAATTTATAATATTCATTAACATCCTAATTTATGCTCTTGAGTTGGCCTGCACTTACATCAATTTTACAATATTTAAAAAGCTATTCTTTTTAAATGCAAGCTTTTAAGATCTTACGTATAAAAATATTTTTGCTAGTCCTAGTTTAAATTAGTCGACTAAATTAATCAAACGGAAATAGATAAACGCGATTAAGAACTAATAAGTGTCTCTCGCTGACATTTACATTTATTCTCCGAGAGCACAAATGGGCAACGATCAGATAGAAAGATATGGCGGTGCTCAGCATCATTAATTTCTCTGCGTTTATTTAAAAGACGACCGAGATTGCAATGACTATCCGAGCGAATCGAGAGTTTCGGGAATTCTTCGTCAAGGAACACTGATTTTGCCTTTCGAAAGTTCGCCGGCTCTGACGAGGCTTTCATCCAGCGGTTAACCGACGTTAAAGCACTTTGCGTATGTTCGTGTTATCGATCGACCCATAGGCGTCGCTTTCGCTACACCTCGATATGCGTTGTCGTCGACAAGAAAGCCAAAAAATGTGAGAACTGTGTTTGGGAAAAAGTATAGTGCACACAGATAAATTTATCTTATCTCGCAACGAGATGCACAAAGCTTGGAAGATGCAATTCAGCGAACAGCACTCTCTTTTTCAGTGTTCTCGAAAATTGAAATAAATAAAATAATACACTTATTGTGTATAGCAACAAATCAGTAATATTTATTTAAAGTTATATATATATATATATATATATATATATATATATATATATTGTGCGTTTTCAATAGATGAGAATAATAATTTTCATCTCAAAAAGACCAGTTGCCTTTTTAAGTAGATGGTTAATATACAAGAATTTTTTCCTTTGCAAAAATGTCGGGAGAGATAATTTCTTGCAAATTGTTAATATTTTTTATCATGTATAATACCTCGTAACTAAGCTAATACTAAATTTACAATTATATTAAATTTTATCTGTAGTTAATTGAAGAATATAGTTTTATCTTTTGATTCTATAAAATTTACTTTGCAAAAAGCTAAACTTTTTTCATTTAAGAGTTTAACTAGGCTCTGTAATATATAAATATAAATTTAACATATATAAGATAGGCAATAAGAGCCAAATCGCGGATGACAGTGCGTTATTCTAAACGAAACTAAATTTTTTCGTTAGAATTAAATACCTGTGCACAAGGCACCAAATTTTTACTTGGACACGGCCAAGATATATTTTTCTCTCGCACTTTATTTCTTTAGGGGGAATAGGGGATACATGGATTTAAAAAAAATCTCTTGTAGAGATTATTCCAATTTTATATCTTGGCCGTGTCCAAGTAAAAATTTGGTGCCTTGTGCACAGGTATTTAATTCTAACGAAAAAATTTAGTTTCGTTTAGAATAACGCACTGTCATCCGCGATTGGCTCTTATTGCCTATCTTATATATGTTAAATTTATATTTTTTCATTATTTATCATTCGAGAATTATTGATAGCTCGACATTTTCATTAAAAAAAAGTCTCAAATTGGCCAGAAATTTTAAAAACATCCCATGATTTTGAAACACCTTGTGGAGGAAGCGAACTCTTGGCGGTGAAGAAATAAAAAAAAACAAAAAAAATGATCGACAGAAAGAAGGTATACAGACGACAAGAATGCTTGTTTTATAACAAAGTATGTCTCTTTAAAAACAAAAATAAAAATAAACTATCATCGGATTTAAAAATCCAAGTCCGGATTGGGCGAGAAATCTGGGAAAGAAAAAGCTGCGCCACAAAATAAGACCGAAGAAAAGAAAAATGGCAGAAGGGACCGAGTGGAACGCCCGGATGCTAATCCAAGGGAAAAAGAGAGTTAATCGTCGGATATCATTCGTTGCACAAAAGCCGTAAGGCACACTGTCCGGTTATTTCGGTCAATCCTCGAAGAGGAGGCCGCCCGGAAAATATTCACATCGATCTATTCCGCGTTGACCCGTCTCTCTCTCTCTCTCTCTCTCTCTCTCTCTCTCTCTCTCTCTCTCTCTCTCTTCTTTTCCCGTATACTTTCACTTATAAATTCTCGCTCATACATACACATGCACCCACACTAAAAAACAGCGGGAACGGATACACCGTCTGTATGAAGCGCCTCAAAGTGCGCGCCTTTCCAAGGGTCAACCGCATCCCTCTTCCGTGCCACAAAAGGACGCAACAAAACGAAACCGTCGTCTGTCCGATCGGCTGGGCTATAAATACCGAAATGAAAATCGACGCGCCAGCTTGGAATTTTTCGCCATTATAAATAAATTTCTGACAATCGATCCGATTCCTATATGTATATATACATATATATATATATATATATATATATATATATATATACACACACACCCTCTCTCTCTCTGCGTTGACTAGGTACTTATCACGAGGATAGAGTATGTGAAAGGGCGACCTCCGGAGAGAGGCTTCTGCATAATTCTCGCGACAGATGCGAGGCCCCGATCCGATTTCCCATAACCATAATCTCTCGCGCCGATATCCTATCGTCGAGGGATAGCCGTTCGTTCTAAAGCGACGAATCTTGTCGCTCCAATTCCCAAATTTGTGAACTTTGATAGTCTGCGACAAGTGCGACAAATTTAATCCCGTGTCGCAGAGATATACGGAAATTTATATTACCGTGATACATATCTCGCGATTCTCCGAATCTCTGTTACATGATACGTATCGTCGCATTGAAATCACTCAGATAATTATATCTCTCATCTTTTTCATTTTAATTCCACGTTTTAATATTAATTTATTAAACAAAATTATGAATACAACTTTTCGCGTAACAGGAATTTACTTTAATGAAATGTATACGGGCTATCTCAGAAAATAGCAAATAATCTTTGCTATCCAAACACGCGATGTTCATGGCAGGCAAGACAAGTTCTCCACTCGCGCAATATTCGAGATAAAAGATACGGAGAGGATTAGCTTTGTTGTTTTCATAATGCGCTGACGGTAATGAATGTTGCCGTTTCGTTTTACAAATACGTACCTAGATCCTTCGCGGCGATACGAATAATAAGATTTAGTATTACGACGTTTTGCGTTAAAAGGCAGAGATCAACCTCTCCTCCCTTTTCTCACCCTCTCCCGCCCTTATTCTACCAGCGCCATTGTGCTTTTTATAGCCACGATGCGCGTAGCAGAAGATTCGCAAAAACAAGACGCGTCGAGGCAAGAGACATTTACATGAAAGAAACGTAAAAATTCTAGGTCGCGAGACAGAATCTCATCTTTAATCTTTAGATTTAATCCGCCAAGAGCTCTCTCTTACGTAGACGTGGCAAATCGTGTCGTCCCGAAGCGGACGCGAGGTGTGACAAATATATACGTTATTTACATAAAGCGCGCATAAAATCGCAAGACACGCGACATGAGTGTGTGTGTATTCAGAATCGAAAGTTTAACGCGAAAGAAAATCAAGAGCGCGCAATACCGAACCGGAAACACCGAGTCGTTATCAAAAGTCAGGACCATGGGGTCCGCAGGATTTTTTTCTAGAGGTATTATAGTTTATTTTTGTTTGTTTTTAATTTAAAAAAATTTTTTTAATTTTATTTTTATTTTTTTAATATGCAAACAAATTCTACTGTTTATTCTAAAATTTTTTAATGATTTCAAGGGGACCCAAGTGCTCCCTCTGCGGACACCCAAATCCAGGACACAACTTGATCGATATTTATAACGAATGATAAAAATTTTAAACCGGAAATGTAATTCTCTCGTGAATTAAATTTGAAATTACGCGCTTACAAAGGGGGCAAAAATGAGATATGAAAGAGAAAGAGAAAAAAAAACAAAATATTTCTACCCTTTATTCTCTGTACCGCGCGTAATATAATATTTAATTGTATATGGCTGTAAGTTATATCACGGCACCCAACTGTTCCCTTCCGTCGACGAAATAGTTTCGATCATACGTCATCTCGCACGCTACTTTTTTTTCTCTCACTCTCAACATTTGCAACCTCGTACGCGCGTCGAGAAAAAATACTCGCGCATAAAAGAACTGGCACGTTTATTTTTCAGAGCCAAAAACGGAGATTCTGGGTGCGCCGGATCTGTTCATCAATCGAGGTAGCACCATCAATCTCACGTGCGTCGTCTTGCAGAGTCCAGAGCCGCCCGCCTACATTTTTTGGAATCACAACGATGCGGTGAGTCCGACGAATTCATTATTATTCTAATATTATTCCCATTTTTGCGAAATTTACGCACCTACGTTAGGGCGACCAGAACGCCCAGGAGGCGTTTAAACGCGCCAAGTTTACGACGAATAATGGACGAAGAGACGACGGCTGCAATATCGCGCGATTAGCACGACCTAGATTTATTACTAACACGCGCCCGCGCGCGCGACTCTGGCCAACGTTGACTTTGTACACGGATAATTAATGATGATCCTACTTCCTCGGGATATATATATATGTATCCTAATATCGCGGAAGGCAACGCGTCGAATAAGTTTCTGCTTCTCGTTCCGCCCGCGAGAAGCCCAAGTTTTCGCGGGATGAAATTTTCAGCGCGCCGCCTGAGAAACTTCCGTCTCCCTTCGTCATGTTTATTACGCGTGCACAGTTGCTTCGAGATTATTATTGTTGTTGTTATTTTGCTCCTGTCGTTATTATTACATTCTACAATCTTTCCCGTTATTAATCCCAACGAATGAACTCGAAGTAACTACATATAATACCTAGTATATAAGTACATACAAGTACAAGTACCCATTTATAATACGTCGGTGTAATTTATACTTTTGATGAAAAAAAAAGGTACTGACTCTCTTTCTGTAAATATAGCGTTTATACAAAATAGATCGTTTCTCCTTTTTTCCGATTCGCGCAATCCCGAGAGAGCCGATGACGTGTATAGCGGAAATTCCGAATGACTATTCGAGATCCAATCCGCCTTTCGCAAATTCCGCTGCGGGGATAATAGCGGCAAAGTGCGTGATAAATGGCCGTACAGAGGTGTCGGCGAAGGTCGTTTCTAATTATAGGTACCTCGTCTGAAACTCCAGGAAGTCGAACAGTTCCGATTAGGGCGCTGATAGCGGACGGGTAAGCAGCACTTACAATAACCACCTGCTGTCATACAAGAATGTTGAGCTGCTTGAAACGTCGCGAAAATTAATCGAGCGGCATTTGCATCCTTTACGAGGCGCGCGAACCAACATATATATATATATATATATATATATATATAATTCCGAGTGTAAATATTTCGGCCGCGGCCGTGTTGTACGTTTCAAGTTACGGGACAATATTTGCGCATCGCGATGAGCACACATGAGGGCGAAAAGGTTGTTACACGCGTTTGCACACGCGTATTTATTATAATTAAAATATAGCGCGCATTTATGGCAGCTATTAAACCGGCCAAAAATATGCTCTCGAAAACTTTCGAGTTTAAGCTCTTAAAATATGCCGTCCACACACAGAGGGACATGCAAATATTCTTCAAAAGAATTATCCCTTCCGCGAGAATTTTCCCATAAATATATTTCGCGAGCCACGTTGAAAATGAAACACAAACGCAAGCAATAATTTAAAAGAGAAGATATTTTCCTTTTTTTTTTTCCTCATATTTATTCGCATAATAAAATCAATTATTCTATTACGTCGTTTGTTCAGACTTGGAAATTTTCACGCGACTGAGACTAGCTTTTTCGCGCGCGATAACAAAGTTTTTCCAGGGCGAACGAATTAAGTATGCGCGCGCACAAAGAAAGATCATAAAACATTCCGACAACTACGGCGGCGACTGTTTGCGAACGGTTGACCGGCCAATAAATTTTGATAATGTCCCGACTGGCTGGGCCGCCGCTAAATCGTGAGAGAGTCGTGGCAAAATTGGTAACGGCACTCAGGAGGTTCCATTAGGCGCATTAAGCCTGACCGAGAGCTTTGGGACTCGGCTGGGCGAGCAACGTGGAAACAACTCTCGCACGCTCACCTTAAAGAGGGCTCCTTCGTGCGTGACTAACGCGCGTGCAGTTTCGAAGGGTTTCCGGACCATAAATGAGCCGAGAGGGAATCCCAAATCCACGCAATATTAGTCCGCCCTTGCGCTAGATCCTCTCTTTCCTCTCTCTCTCTCTCTCTCTCTCTCTCTCTCTCTCTCTCTCTCTCTCTCTCTCTCTCTCTCTCTCTCTCTCTCTCTCTCTCTCTCTCTCTCTCTCTCTCTCTCTCTCTCTCTCTCTCTCTCTCTCTCTCTCTTTCAAGTTGATCGCCGTGGAAAATATTGATAAATGTATCGTACGCCATGAGCTTAGATCTAGATTTATCAGAGCCGAACCAACATTGGCTCAACTACGGTGTTATAATTAATACAACGCTCGTGCTACCCGGAATATCTCCTGCTACGTGATCACGGAGAAAATGTTTCGTAGTGACTATTACATGTACATATATATCTTATCGAAAGGCGAGTATCGAATATATATTATATATTGAGGATAAACTCGAAAGCATTATTATTCATGTTAAGTATGAATCAAAACGGATCGTTATCCTCGAAGTAGCCTGTCCGAAGATCATCCTCTTAAATATTATCGCAGAACTCGCGAAGGATTACGTTTGCTCGCTTCAAGTTTACCGCGTCTCTGGCTGGTCCTCTTTAAATATGTATTTCGTCAGCGCCACCGATATAAAGTGCCTCGGTAAAGAGATCGCACAGGTTCCCCCGGGATCGATTAAGAGGCTGAGCAAAATAACCGCGCTCCAAGCCGGTAATCGTGATCTTGCGCAACCTATAATAATGATTCATGTGCGTTCGCGGAAGACACCGTGACGGGCCCCTGAACATGATAAAACTCATGCGGTCGCTACAAGCGATAAGGGAACGCGAGGAACAATCATCTTCTCTTGTTCCTCTTTCCAGAAATCGTCCCGGGGGAACCGACCGAAATTCCCCTTCCGATAATAAGGTCGCCATCTCCCATCGATCGATCCATCGCGCGCCGCGAAACATTTTCCGGCCGCAAGGAATCCACCGGAACCACCCGAGCGCGTTTGCTTTCACGCTCCGATACACCTTATCCCTTTGATTTTGATTGAATTTCGTGCCGGCGTCTGTTGCGGCGACCGCATCCCCGAAGCAACGCGGCATCGCTTATCGATGCACGACGAAGGATACGACACCTCTCGAAGGATAGTGCTCCTTTAGAAATTGAGAGATGTCCTGAGACGCGCGGATAATATATATATTTCGATACGCTAAGAATCAGGAAAAGGGTTCTGCTCCGAAAATTTTCAAGGAAAAAAAATAAATGTCTCGTTACATTTATTACGTGTATCTACACGGAGAGAATTTTCTCTTAGAATTTATCCTGAAAATCCTGGTAATCGTGGGACAACATGGCACTGGAAAAATTTCATAAGAGTTTCTTTGATATATGTTTATCACAATGAGGAAATATTAATATGTATATAATAAAATTAATTGGACGCTTTTATATCTTATTGCGGTAGATATTAATATTTTCTATTGTGGTAAATATGTTTCAATTAGAGCAACTCTTATAAAATTTCTTCCAATACCATATTGTTCCATTATTACCATGATTTTCAGGATAATTCTCTCTATGTATGATTCCCGATTTTACACTAACAAAAATACCAAATATGTACAATATTAATTATATTTATATGTTAACCAATCATTCCGATCTAATCTCATTTCCGTCGTATGTTTCGCTTCTCGAATCAATCCGAGTCGATTGATTTATCTCGAAGAAATATCTCCCCTATTGAGAGACGTTTAAACACGATAACACTTTTCTTATTAATATGTCAATTGTGGGAAGACTGCCAGAAGAAGGAGGAGACGCTGCCAGATTAGCACAAATTCTGCGGCAAAAAGAAAAGCACGTTTCGCTGAAGTTCGCGGTCATCGATCGCATCGAAAGTGACAGAATCAGAGAAAAAAAGTGCAACGCGAATGAATTATAATTTTGCATCGTAATTATAAATTTTTGACAAATTGCTCTTCGCTAGATTTTATTGTTTTAACACTTAATCAACGGAATTGCGTTCAAAATGAAAGGAAAGCGGAAGCGCGACTTTTGACGTTACATTAACTTCGCGCATTCCTCTTATCATCCCCGGCAAATAAAAGCGTCACTCTCCGATGGATGAAGAGCTCAGGATGCGGGAAATTGTTCAAACTGATCCTGTCCAAATAGAGAGTGAGCGGTATAAGATGCGCAAGATAAACAGTACCGGATTTTATATATCGCCTATAAAGCTCTCCCCGGGCTCTCACTTTCTGCGGACAAACGCACTTTTCGTCCCCACGTGAACACATTTCCGAACCCGGTTGTAATCCTTACTTCGTTGACTCACGTACATACGAAAAATAAGAGAGAAAAAGAGAGCGTCCCTTGATCCTCTCATGGCCCTCGTGCAGTGCGTCGACTGGACGCGTGCGACCGCTTTTATTTACGGCTGTTCGCATGTGTCAGCTACAATTTCGGTGTCGAGTACCGGCAAAAAAAAGCTGGTAACAAGTCGTCGAGAGTACCACTCGTGTTACGCTTATGTGCATGCGTGACGCGAACGGAATATTTTTCCCTCGCAAAATGGAGTACAATGACTCGGGCAAAAAAACGGGGGAGGATGAATCGTAAACGTGGATACTTGAAAGAGAGCAGCAATGCGTACGATAAAAATATACATAGATACGAAAAAAAATAATAAATAAATCGATCGATGAATATTAACGAAATAAAAAAGAATATGCAATAAGTCAAGCGGCATTTATTACCGATGAATTAGCGATTATTTAGTTAAACGCGCGTTTTCTCTCTTACGAAAGGAAATAAAAATCTCTCCGATCTCGTAATGAGAAGTTCAATATTTTTTTCGCGTAAGTTTTTTTTTTACCCCTCGTAAAGGATAACATCGATCGACAGGCATTAATTATGCGAGAACGCGATTACACACGTCCCAAATATTCTCTCTGGAAAATCGATTGACTACCTTCCACCCAACCGGGAGATAACAAACTTATTATTTCAACGCGAGCGTGAAACGTATCGAGCATAAAATTTGAATAAATGAAAGAATAATATGAGGGTTAAAAGGTGATCCATTTGTGACAGAGCGTTTCTGTTTTCTCATAAATCTTTGTTCGAGACGTGCGTATTCGACATCAT